CTCTACCCTGTTTCGAAACATGTTTCTCGTGTAGGTCAAGATTTTTCATATTTTTCTTCTTTTGTGAAATTATCTTCTGCATGTTAGTGCTTAATGTTATTTTGTTGTTAAGTTTATTTAATTTTGAAAGAGAGACTGTTAATTGATTGTATTTTATAAGAGCCTCGACTGCTATGTTCATTTTATGCAATCATCTTTTGTATATTATTGAATAATTTTATTTTGCAGTGAAGTTTATTTAATTTTGAAAAAGAGACTGTACTTCGTTACTGTTAATTGATTCATTGATTGACTGTATTTTATAAGAGCCTCGACTGCTTTGATCATTTTATGCAATCATCTTTTGCATATTATTGAATAATTTTATTTTGCAGTGAAGTTTATTTAATTTTGAAAGAGAGACTGTACTTCGTTACTGTTAATTGATTCATTGATTGACTGTATTTTATAAGAGCCTCGATTGCTATGATCATTTTATGCAATCGTCTTTTGCGTATTATTGAATAATTTTATTTTGCAGTGAAGTTTATTTAATTTCAAAAGAGAGACTGTACTTCGTTACTGTTAATTGATTCATTGATTGACTCTATTTTATAAGAGCCTCGATTGCTATGTTCATTCTATGCAATCATCTTTTGCATATTATTGAATAATTTTATTTTGCAGTGAAGTTTATTTAATTTTGAAAGAGAGACTGTTACTGTTAACTGATTGATTGATTTTATTTTATAAGGGACTACTGATCATCGGCCCAGCGTTACTGTTAAAAAGATATGATTGAACGAAGAAAGAAATGTAATAATGAAATAAGTGAACGTGTGTATAATATTATTTTGCTGTTAAGTTTATTTAATTTTGAAAGAGACTGTACTTCATTACTGTTATTTGATTAATTGATTTTATTTTATAAGGGCCTTTACTGCTATGATCATTGGCCCAGCGTTACTGTTAAAAACATATGATTTAATGAAGAAAGAAATAAATGTAATAAAAAAGCAAGTACACGTGTATAAGATAGAACGAAATTTTAAGAAGTCTCTGACAAATCAAAAGTTAATTGCTTTCACTATAAATGAAACTTCAATATAAAAGTTCAATTTCACGTACTGAAAGGTCTGATAAATTACGTACGCTGTAGTGGCGCCAGCGAAGTGAGGGGTTGAAAACTGATAAAATTATCGATTTTCTTTGTTCGTTTGTATCGAACCGTTTCAGATAATTCAAATAACAGTTGAAGACTACATGACACAATTATCTAATTATAAAATAAGTTCAAGGTAAACTAATTTCGTTAACATTGCAGTAAATGAACATCTAACAATCTTGCACACATCTTAAAATGAAAATCGCAGTTTCCAACAATTGCCTAGAACAGAAAAGACTACAACGCAGAATGAAACTGCAGAACGATTGGAAACAGACGCATTACGATCGATACCGTGTCTCTAAGCAAAAACCGAGACACCGAAACTCGAAAAACCGTTCAGCACTCGTTACATCACTGAATTTATACACGTGCTGCGCCGAAACACGTTTCACCGTGCTACGTTATCGATTGATGATAGAGGCAGTCGCTCTACGGTCATAATATTTAAGCCAATAACCGCGTGCAATCCCGTTAACCCAATAAACCGCGAAACATCGATGAAAATTTCATTGTTACGTACTATCAATCGACATGCCGTGCTCGTTGATCGCAGGAACCACGTCTACGCGCTTCAAGGCGTAGAACTCTTGCACAATCTGACACCACGATTCGTCAGACGTTGGATGAACGTTTCACTGACACTTTATTCACAAACAAAGTCTTTGGAATTCTTGAAGCTTCACTGAAGTCTTATTTAGAAATTGCGAACTGGGGTTTCACGAATTTGAAGATTCAATTTATGTCAGCTGCAGTTTTATTCACAATTCTCCCTGCAATTTAGAGGCAATAGGAAATTGCAATTAAGTCGACAGGATCAATTTTTATGGCTAGTTTACTGGATACTGTGAAATAAAGCGATATCTGGACATCGACTGAAGTTTCTTTAAAAACCAGGTGATAAAATTTCACGTTACTACCCCAGTTACAGAGTAGACCTCCACAAAAACTATAAAACCCAGTTACGATTTAAGAATAATCAACACGAGATGTCAAAATCGTAATACAACAAGTTTTACACAAACTTGAATTTCTTCCAAAAGCACAATTTCGAACTGCAAGTAAATTTCACAGATTCGAATTGCTTTAAAAAGTATCACAAGAGCTCGAGACACTGAATCAGTATAATCAGACACAGTTTCACTGTAAAATCCTCCAGAAGTCACTAGCGTGCAACAATAATCTCAAGACGATAAACTCATTTCGAGATCACTGCACAGAACCGTGTAGTATAATGTCGTTATCTGACGATTGTTTAACAAACGAAACGTGGTAGCAACGTGACGATGACGTCTTCGGTTCTGCCTCGCTCGTCATACTTTATTTCCAGTGCACCGTGCCGCGTACAAATGGTGACTGGCGTGTAACCGGCTGCGGATATTACGCCATGAAATTCAGAAGCGGGCCAACGTGCCGCCACTTTTCTTCGTCAAATCTATATTTAGTTACGAATTCGATCGGACCACCCTGTGAGGGCTGAATTCGCGAATCCACCCCTGAACGGAATCCGGTGGCGTGTTCGCGGATGACGTGACCAATCGTCGTTTTTCACGTGCGGATCGTTCAATCGATCGGGAATGCGGAGAACCTTGGATTATCTAATGTCCCTCGATTAATGACCCGTCCAACGAATTATACGCGTTACGCAATACTTCGACACTGTTTACAAACACCGTTTCTGTGCCACTGTGCAGTTGCAAGTTTTCATCGAAATGCAGTTATCGGATTTGTGAAATTCAAAATTATTTTTAACGAAGTTATATGATTAGTCATTTTTATCTCAATAAAAATTTGTATATAATTGGACATTTTTTTAATTGTTCAAAATAATTGAATTGTCTCTTTATGCACAATCTTTCATAAATATTTAATTGTTACATTGCTGGTAATTTTATATTGTCTGAATTTATCAAATTATTAAACGACTTAATACGTTAGTGAACGTCAATCTAAGTGCATATAAAATTGCATATAAAATGAAGGTTTTCATACAAAAATATTTTCATGAAAGAATATTTCACAATTTTACAGTGTCTGAATTTATCAAATTATTAAACGACTTAATACGTTAGTGAACGTCAATCTAAATGCATACAAAATTGCATATAAAATGAAGGTTTTCATACAAAAATATTTTCATGAAAGAATATTTCACAATTTTACAGTGTCTGAATTTATTAAATTATTAAACGACTTAATACGTTAGTGAATGTCAATTTAAGTGCATATAAAATTGCATATAAAGTAAGGGTTTTCACCGAAATGCACTTATCAGATTTGTAAAATTCAAAATTATTTTTAACAAATGAAGTTATGATCAGTCCCTTTTATCTCAATAAAAATTTGTACATAATCGGAAATTTTTTCAGTGGTTGAAAATTATTGAATTTTCCTTCTATGAACAATTTTTCATAAATATTTAATGGTCACCTTGCTGACAATTTTACAGTGTCTGAATTTATCAAATTATTAAACGACTTAATACGTTAGTGAACGTCAATCTAAGTGCATATAAAATTGCACATAAAATAGAGGTTTTCATACAAAAATATTTTCATAAAAGAATATTTGAATTTCCACGACAAAATGTAAAGAATAAATTCATCGAATTTTCCCATTAAAGAAGAATGAAATGATTGATATCAAATAGTAAATATTCAGTAACGAAGCGATTAAAAGATTGAACGTTCATTAATAGCGATTATCGCACGAACCGGTTTATTTCAATTCGTTCCTGATTATTAATTTCATGACGCGGTACGATACACGGTGCAACAATGATTTACAAGGCCTAATTACGTCATGGGATTAATTTGGGTATGATGGAACGAGGTAAGACACGTAATGCATGCTAAATCGATATATGTCGTAACACGTAAGGAATCTACTCTCGTCGAGAAACCTCGTTTATTTATCCTTTCTCCCACATTCTTTTTTTTCTCGCAACATAAGCTATAAAAAGATCCCAATGTCTGACATTTTAAAATTCGAAGTCACTAGATTTTTTTGATAAACGTCGTGCGTAAGATGGTTCAATTTCTGACACGAGTATAATTAACGTGAATGATAATATAAAATATAAATGATAGTATAAATTAGAGGCTGTAAATATTAACGATAGTATAAATTAGAGGCTGTAAATATTAACGATAGTATAAATTAGAGGCTGTAAATAAAATTCTGGTGAAATTATATGAAAATTGTATATCGATGAGAAGAACCTGAAACAAAATTTGTGAAGGGGTGGGATAAGCGGATATTACCATCTTTGAGGAAGATGGTAATGTGCAATAAGCAGCATACACACATGCACATGCGTTGAAATCCCACAAAATCGCACCGTGTGTTCCTCGATGATTCCGTATCTGCCGGAATGTCAACTTGACGAGCTAAAATTCATCTTCAACTTGAAGAGCTAAAATTCTCGATGACGATCGAAATTATACAGAAGATATAAACTGATTGCAATGCAAACGAATCGCGTCATTTTTCGCGCTATGAACTCTGACATATTTACAGAATTAATTAACAGTCTTAAAATATTTACAGAATCGATGATTAACGGTCTTAAAATATTTACAGTATAACGTGTTTACAAAATCTATGAACAACAGTCTTTAAAATATTTACAAAATAACAGTCTTTCCAACAAGAATAATTGCAAAATTATAAAATAGTGCTCCAAAATGAAAATGATTAAAAAAGAAAGATATGAGCTAACTGGAATGAATTCTAATCTGAAGACGTTTGTGAAACTAAAGTGCAGTAATCCCGAAATAATTGACACCAGTGCAGTGTCTGTGGCGGTGCGTTTATATCACAAAAAACACAAAAACAACGATGCATTGTGACTCACGATTCGACGGAATTCTGCAATTTGTTCAGCTTTTCTTCTAGGGCATGTGCTGCAGCCTCAGTGAAAGCTGCGAGGTATGCAAGAACGGGGCCTGTCAGAGCTTTTACCTCCTCTGTCATGGGTTTCAACTTCTCTGCTTCTGTCACTAGTTCCTGTTGCAAAACATATATTTTTATTTTCAATTACTTATTGGACGAAGATGAGTTATTGTTCTTTTGTACTACATTAACTCCTTGCACTATGATTTGTCAGGTGCAGACACATTGTCAGAAACAACTATGATGTGATGATAAAGAAATTTGAAATGTTAATTTGGTGTTATGCCAATTTGGTGCTACATTAATTTTGTGTTATGTCAATTTGGTGTTGTGCAATTGACCATGAAAATTATAATGAACTCCAAATTTGAAGAGTACTAATTCAAGTAAAATTGATCACCAGGTCCGAGTGTGTCACCAAACACAAAATAGTGCAAAAATAAGTTACTAATTCAAAAAAGTAATAAATATCTCTAAGATCTCTAAGTCTCTAAGGAGACTCGAAAAATTAAATTAACATCTCTAATACATAATTTGTATTATTTTACAGTATGCAGATGTTAATGCACTTATGATTCGAGGTCAGAATACCTTGCGTAATCTCTAATGCCATCTACTCATGGATTTATCTTAACTTGATATATCATAACTTACATAACTTAAATCTATCATAAATGCATAAACTGTATGATACTATATCTCTGCAATGATATGTCTATCTTATGACTAAGTTATGACACTTACACGTAGAGCTTTGATGGAATCGAGCAAGCTCTGTTTTGACCGAATCACAGTATCCAAAAGTTTGCTCTTCTCTTCGATGGCGTTCAACCGAGTCTCGATAAGAGACCACTGTGCTTCCAAATCTTCCCAGTGCTTCGACAACGCTTCGAGCGCATCTCTGCGACCTTCCAACCCAGATACCAATTCTTTCCATTCAGAACTGATCTCAGCTATCTGCTCTTCAATCGTCTTCTTGTTATTCTCATCCGCCAATCGAAGCACCTCGCGACTGCGTTCGTTCAGAAGATCCAATTCAAATTGTTGGTTCTGCAAAATACATAAACCATTAAGCACACTAATTAACACGTTCAATCTACCATCAATAGTTTAACAGTTCAATCTTCATTTCCTGAAGACTCACTCTGTTTACCTGTATGTCATTAAGAGCATGCGTGATCTTCTGAATGTTGAACTGCAATCCAGCCAATGTCGTGACAGGCTCGTCAGTGAATCTCGTTCTCGCGATGACAGCTCGAACACGCTCCAAAGTTTGCGTGTAATCCTTCCAGGTCTCAGCGCCTTGTTCCAGTCTCGCACGATGCGATTTAGCTGTGTTTAAGGTGTTCTTTAGCAACTGTGTGTGCTGTTGCTGCTCCGCGCTTAGCTCTTCTTGCTCGGAGGTGTTCAGGGATGGCCAGATCTTGTCGGCCGCTTGCTGGATCTGTTGGGACACTAACTCGCGTATGGAGGGCTCGCTGCTGAAGTAAATCTGAAAGATACAAGTCATTTTTTAATTTTATCGTTTTATAAGAATGCAGATTATTTTGCATTTGGACTTGTAGATTTATTTTGAAATTTAGGGATGAAGAATCGAGACGTAGGAACGTAGGAAATTTAGCATTTAGTGCTAAGTTAAATTATGAACTTCATATGTTACATATGTTACATATCACAGTTTAACTTTCTATATTCAGATATATTTGCAAAAATAATATTTGGGAGTTGTTATAATTTTTATCTATTTGCAAGTGAATAAAAAATATTTCTTCTTCCTTAAAACTAGGAAGTAATATTAAGTATTAAATATACAAACCTTATGTTCCTCAAGATCGCTAAGAATGTTCTCAAAATCGAGACCATCCTTGTCACTTTCCAGCCTTATCTCCGCCTCGCGAACCCAGCTACGAAGTTTATCAGTCAACGCAGCATACTCTTGTCGTAACTTCATATTACTTTCCAAATAATTCCCCCGTTCCTCCATTTCCCTAGGCAAGGACGTGAGCAGCGACACCGCCTCGCTGAGCATCTCCTTCAACGAACCAGGCATCCCTTCTTCGTAAGGCACAGAGTTCTTCACGTTTCTGATTCTATCTAGATGTTCATTGACAGCCTCGCAAAGCTCGTTGTGCTTCTTCAGCTCCGCCTCGACGCTCGTTGGATCTCTTTCTAGAAGAGGCCTGGATTTCACTTCTTTCTCTTTGTCCTCCAACCAATTGAGAATCTCAGCCAATTCGTTCGCGAGTCTCTTGTGCTCGGCTGCTGCCAGCTCGTGTTGCTCTCTTTGGGTCTCTACTGCTCTTCTTAGACCCTGAAGTTGTTGTTTTAGGGATTGCAGTTGCTCTGTTATGTTGTTTCGGTCGGCGGTTGAACCTTCGGCGGCGATTTGCTGGCCTTTGTCCGTCGCGCTGGCGAGGGTGGCTTCGCATTCTTGGATCTTGAGGATCGCGTCGTCGTATCTGCAAAATAATTTAGTTATAGAATAAGAATACTGGATCTCCACTATGAGAACTATTTATTGTTCTAATTAAATGTAACATTTTAATGAAGACTATTTAATATTATAATTAAGTGTAACATTTTTATGAAGACTATTTACTATTATAATTAAGTGTAACATTTTAATGAAGA